TGCACTCCTTCCTGAAATATGTTTATTCTGTAGCCAAATGACGACTCGCTCGCTGGCTGCTTTGCCATTGCAGAAACCTGTGCTTTGTCACATAAAGGTTGTTGTAACTTTATTAATCGCTGGGTAATTTACAGAGGATTGATCCTCCCTGTGGGGTCCAGTGCCCCTCTGGGCTGGCGAGGACGGGGGTTTGAGTACACCCAGAGGTGGTCCAACTGGGAGCCCCTGGATCAAACCCAGCCTCCAGCCCCGCAGGACTGTTCACTCCCAGTTTCTGGGTGCTGTCAATCCCCTTATAAGATGCAAAACATCCAGCAGTCCTCACTCCTCATGGCTTATCTTTGCAGCTCAGAAAAAAATGCCTTCCTGGGGATCTCCTGGTGGAGCTCTGCCTGGACCCACTGGAGCTGCTGCTCAGACCAGCAGCAAAATCTCAGCATTAGTTTTCTTCTGGGGACGTGCTGTAAGGGTTTCCAGCCAGTGCTGCCTCCTGCCTTGATGGGCAAACAGGGTTTGGTTGAACCTCGGAAATAAAGAAATTGCTTGCTGAACCTCACCCCCCAGATGGGTAGGGCTGTGTCACACGGGATCAATGACGGCAGAGAAACAGTCCACATGTGCGTTGCAAAAGTAAAACCATTGCAGGCAGCTTAGAAGCTGTACTGTAATTGCTTGAAGAAACTCACTTTTGAGGTCATTGTGTCCCTTCTAGCAGGAGGAAGAGCTGGGAGCAGAGGCCATGAAATGGGGTGTTCATCTGTGGGCTTTGGTTTGCACTTTAAACTGCTCATGACAGGTTTGTCACAGATCCCAGGGAGCTGCTCGGGCTCAGCTCTGGCACCTTTCATCCCCCAGATAACAGCCCTGTGCTTGCTGGGCTCTTTTAGACAGGGAGAAACCGAGGGAGCAGAAAATTCCTCCATTTCCCTTGCCACACTCTGCCTTGCTGATGACAGCAGATGGGGGCAGAGAAGATGCAATTAGATATAATATAGGATATTGGCCCAGCCTGCCAGCAGATACCCATGAGATCCATTTAGTGCTGGACTTGTCAGCCCCAGGAGTGATAACGTGGAAGGAACCGTTGGGTTAATTTGAAAATAGGTCAATGGAATGTAAAGATAACCTCACAGTCATCTGATTTCAGAGAGCCCGCACCACGCTCGGGAAGGGAACGTGTCCTCTGGTTGATTAAAGTACCTACAAGGGGAAAATAGGAGGACAAGAAGCTGCTGGAGATTTATTCTGGAGCAGGCACAGCTGGTGAAGGCAGCTGGCAGAGAGGCGAGCTCAGCACTTGCATCTGCGTGGATTGAAGCTGCTTTGGCTGCTCGCTCCCAAAGAGGAGTGAGGGCTGAGCCGATGCACTGGTCCTGGGTGTCGGGGTGGGACAAGCCACCGGGTCACCTGCCAGGGCTCCAGAGCTGCTGAGCCCGGGCACTCCCTGTCCTTGGCTGACCTGGGAGGGAAGGTTTCTCCAGGATGTGGGATCAAGTGGTTTTCAAAAACAAATCTCTTGGCTGTGCTGGCTGAAAAAGTGGCATTTGTGCTCATCAATTTTATTTGTGTAATTTCAAGCACCATTAATAGTACATGGCATGAGGAAAAATCACTCCAACCATGAGTAAAATTGGGTTTAGTAGAAAATTAGTTGACTTAACAAGCAAATGATGAAAGCTTGAATAAGGAATGTTTAAATGAGGAGGAATGAAAAAAAAAAATCCCCCTCACCTCAGAGGTGCAGCCTGGATTTGCGTGATTGGAGTATTAAAATCAGTGGTTATAAAGTGTTTAGAAAGGATGGGGCGGGGGGGGTAAATGACAGAGAGATGCTCTGCTTCAAAGACACTGGTCCTGCTTTTAGATCTCTTCCTTCCTGGCAGCCTTGGTGCTGGGAGTATAAATGGATGTGGCAAGTCCTTAACACCAGAGAGGGGACACGTGGCAGATCGCGGTGACAAGGGGGAGCAGCAGAAGCCAAACCTGCTCTGCCTAATGGGTGGAAAGTTTTTGGAGGCTTCACTGTGAGATACACTAATTGCTGTCTCCTGCAGCCCCTTGTCAAACTTAGAGAGGGCTTTTTAAAATTGCAGCTGATTTTGTAACACAGCTGCTTGTGTGATGCCTGCCAGCATGGGGTATGCTGCAGGAGAAGCCTGACAGTTTTGGGGTTTTTAGTTAAATACAAGGTTTATGGATTAGCTTTAATCAAAAATTCCGGAGTGTTTTGAGCAGCACCCAGAGGAGCAGAGTGTGAGGTGCTGCTTGGGATGTTGGCATTGCCACACTCATCTTCCAGCAGCAAAGGTATGGTAGCTGTTGAATACACATCCCTGGTTACCCAGGGAAGTTGTAGATGCCCCCTCCCTGGAAGTGTTGAAGGCCAGGCTGGCTGAGGCTTTGAGCAACCTGGTCTAGTGGAAGGTGTCCCTGCTGATGGCAGGGGGGTTGGGACTGGATGAGCTTTAAGGTCCTTTCCAACCCAAACCATTCTATGATTCTATGACTGAGGAAAAAGCAGTACATGTGCTAGCAGATGAGATATTTAGCATTGCATCGCTATAAAATCCTCGGGGGTTTTACTGACTTAAAAATTCCCCTTGTGCTTCAGCCTCCCCAGGAGGGCTGGGTCTCCTTGTCACCCTATTTATCATACTGAGGTGTGTTGGAGGTGAGAACCTCTCTGTTCCTGCCATCTTCCCAGTCAGCCACGTTGTGTAAAATTGTGTATAAAAGTGATAAAAGTGACTGCCACCTGTTTCCCCTGCAGCTGCCCCGGCCGAGCTGCCCTGAGCTGATGCTGATGTTCCTTCTGACAAGAGCAATGAAGCAGCTGCAAATGCAGCTCTTTTTTTACCTTAAATTGAAATTCTGTGTTTTTCCTGACTTTGGTGAGTGATGTGACTCCACCTTCACTCTCTCTCTTGAGTCATGGTCATGGTCAGGAGTTTGGGATGATGATTCACCAGTCTAAGGTTGGGATGAGGCTGGAAGGATCTTGGTGCCCAATGCTGAAGGGCTTGCAAACCATATCAGAAAAAGAGGGAGATACTGGCCAGGAGCAGACCAAGAGCCCTTTATCATAGCTATTATTAGCCAAACAGTTTCACTGGCTTCATATGACCCTTCTGATGATGTTGGTGAAGACAAGTGAGAGACTGGAGAGCAAATGCTTGTGATAACTGTATAATTTGGCTGTTCCTTGGGTGGGAGAGCCATCAATTTCCTCTGCAGACAGCCATAGGATCGATAAATGAAACGCTGTGTGTGTAGTCATAGGTGTGGGCAAGGGCTGAGGACCTTATGGAAGTGCTCCTTGGAGGATGGACTCTTGAACTGCGGGTCCATTCGAGCTTCAGATGAGCAACAGGTAAAACCCAGGTAGGGCTGGAAAGAGGATTTGTGGGTTCAGAGGGGGAAATGCAGAGAAATTAGAAGAATCAATAAGAGAGGTCACATAAAGTGAAGGCTTGAAAGCCTGGAAATGTAAAACCTGGCTGGACTTTTTGTTCCTAAGAAAGAGGAGATACTTATAGGGATGGCTGGGATAAAGTTCCATCTCCAAATAGGTGTGAGGAGTAAATGAAGAGCCCAGAGGAAAACACAGAGAGATATCTTGGCAAGCAGGAGCTAAGGGTGAGATTTCACACTGTCTGAGCTCAGACTTGTAAAATGAAACATAAATTCCTCAGCCCTTTTAGAAGGACCGAGAAAGAAACAGGGTGACTGCATGGTGGGAGTGGGGTAGAGCCTGGGTGGACCAAAGGAACTCGATGTTTTGGTTTTCCATGAGGATGTTGCTGTTGCTCTTTGGGTGCAAGTGGGTTTATAGGGGTGGGGGTGAGGAATTATTGCCTTTAGGGGGACAAAAAATACAAGATCGTTGAAGCTGAAGGATGGATCTTCTGTATTTCTGAGCAAACTGGTGCTCAGAAATCACACATATATGTAACAAGGATTGTTGAGAAACCTGCTGAAGCTGGAAGGTGTCACAGTTGGATTTTTGTTTTGTTTTTTGTTTTTTTTTTCTGAGAAGGAGGAAACATGGTCCAGATGAGCAGATGGGCTGTCAGGCTGACATCAGTGGTACGCTTAGTGGAACAGCTTTGGAGTGAGGGATTCATCAGTTCACAGGGGTAATTGAAAAGGGAAGGAGACATGCCGGAGGTTTACCAGCCTTGTATCATGCTAGATTAATCGCATGTCACCTTGGCAGCAAAGTAACTGATGATCTTGCTAAAGAGATTGCAGTCCATCTTGTTCATCTGGGTTTTCATGATGCATTTTGTCTGCTGGAGGAGGGAAGAGGGGCTGAGTAGAACTGCTCTAAGGAACTGTCTGAAAACCCACTGAGTGCGACCCAGGGTCTGCTTGCCCTGGCTTTATGGAACTATTTCATAAATGGGACAAAAAGTGAGAAATATTAATGAAATGTGGACAACATCCATGGATGGGCAGTGGCATCAGAATCAAGAAGCTGAGGGTGCTCCGAGATGTGATGGGTGCCTGTAACGACTGGAGTAAGAGAAACGATGCGTGGTGTGTGCTGGGAGAGATATGGGGCTGGGAACAGGGAGATTTAGGCTGAGCTGGAGCCTTGCAGGCAGGGAGGAGGGGAAAGAGGTGGGTCTGCAAGTCTGGAGCTGATGTGATTGCAATGAAAGCAAATGAAATCTGGTGTCTTCAACAAGAGAGATCAAGGAGAGTGCGTGTGTGCTGGTGAGCCCTGGTTGGGAATGCTGTGCAAAAGCCTCATCATCCATGTGTGAGGAGCAGGAACTCATCTGGAGCAGGTGCAAAGATGAGGAGGGACCAGGACTCCCCAGAACCTCAAGAGTTTTGGCCCAGGATATAAAGGCTGGAGAGTGGAGAAGCATCTGCCTCCCCCTCCATCAACTAGGGAGCTGGATGATGGTCCCTGTTAAACACCTGGCAGGGAAATGAGGGTTTGTGCTTTTGTTGTGCTGGGGGGCTGACCAGTCCCTCCTGCTTCTCCCCAGTCACTTAGGGGTGCCTCCAGGACGGGGAAACTGCCCCTTGACCAGTCCTTTGCCTTTCGACCTGATTTACACGGACTACCACGGTCTCCAACAGATGAAGCAGCACATGGGGCTCTCCTTTAAGAAATACAGGTAAGCAAAGCCACTCCCTCCTCTTACTCTCTGTTTCATTAATTAGCAAGCAAAGACAAATGCTGATGACCTCGAAGGACAGCCCCACATCCCAGGAGTCAGACCCTTTGATTGCAGCTTTGATTTTTGCTCAGCTCTGGCTGCTGCTGCCCTACTGTGTCCCCTGCTGCCGCGACAGGACTCGCCCCAGAGCCTCACTTATTTAAGACAAAACCTCATGAGAAGAGGCTGAACTGGAAAAAAATAACCAAAGCCCTGCATGTGCCTGGGGTGCATGTGTGCAGGTTGGCCATGCCACAGAGGGAAGCGCCAACCTTTTCTATTTACAAGAAGCAGAGCCCTGTCCCTGACTCCTTCGTCATCAAGACAAATGTCACCATCCCCTGGTACATCACCAGCCAGGAGAATATGTGATTTAATTTAGTGCTGATAGTCCCACTATTTATTATGTTTTCTCCCATCCCTTCCACTATCCTACACAATTTTATTAGAGAGAAAAATGACAAGCGGTGTTATTGCTTTTATTATAAATGCATCTGCTCTCGCATTCAGCTTGCTTTGCTCTTCCCTTGCTTGCTGCTCCCCTTGTCTCCTTGGTCCTGTGCTGCTAATGCCTGCCTCAGCATTCCCAGGATATTGGGAAAAGCATTAACAGGTCTTCAGGAGATACATCATTCTCACAACCATCAGGGAGGTGAAAGCCCCGCGAGGGGAAATCACTCCTTCCAGGAGGGAGCAGTGGGTTGGGAAGAGCTGCATGAGATGTTCCTGCACCCTCTGCTTGGGGAGCAGACAAGGGACGAGCTGCCTGGGGGCACAAGATGTCCCTGGCAGTGGGACTTTCTCAAACCGAGGTCCTTGGGTTCTGTCTCCTCTCCCAGGTGCCGCGTCCGGGTCATCGATACCTTTGGGACAGAGCCGGCGTATAACCACGAGGAGTATGCCACGCTGCGCGGCTACCGCACCAACTGGGGCTACTGGAACCTGCAGCCCACCCAGTTCATGACTATGTTCCGTAAGTGGGGGACAGAAGCACAACAGGGGTTTTTTGGTGGCTTGCAGGCACCACAGAAGCGGGTCTCTCCTTTAGCAGGTGATGCCTGGGCAGTGCCATCCTCCCTGGCTCCACTCCTGCTTCCTGCTGCCTGCAAGGAGCTCCCGAAGCTGCTTGGCCATTTCTTGGGCTATAAAAATGTTCCAGGCAGAGAGACCTGGCTCCTTCCTCCGTGATGGGTTGCTGGCTTCAGCACAGCCTGGGCCAAACACAGGACACAAGCAGGAGCTTCTGGCTCCTGGGAGGGGAAGCATAGAAATCATAGAATCATAGAATGGTTTCGGTTGGAAGGAACCTTAAAGCTCATCCAGTTCCAACCCCCCTGCCAGCAGCAGGGACACCTTCCACTAGACCAGGTTGCTCAAAGCCTCATCCAACCTGGCCTTGAACACTTCCAGGGAGGGGGCATTCACAGCTTCCTTGGGCAACCTGTTCCAGTGTCTCACCACCCTCACAATGAAGAAATAGGTGGTTTTGGTTGCAAAGCCTGGTTTTATTTCAGCTGGGGTTCTAAAGGTGAGATGTTTTAGAACATCAGCGATTCGGGTTTGCCTGTGTCACGGAAAGGAGATGTGCTTGTCTGAAAGGAGGACAGTGACCCATTGGGTGCTGGGTAACGCAAACGTTGCTTTGTCCTGGCTGGATAGAGCACATTTGTCAGTCTTAAAAATGCCTTTCTTTTTTTTAAAGAGCCACTCGAGCAGGTTGCAAAGCCTGTGTTTTATGAGCTGCTTGGATGAGGATTCATGCCTCTAGCAAGGCTCTGGAGCTGGGCTCATCTCAATCCCCATGCTGTGATGAGGCTGCAAACTCAACACTGATGGGGTCCCAGAAAACATCTATCCAGCCACGTGTAAAACATCTATCCAGCCACATGTCTTCTCTCTTTGTTGTCTGCAGCTCACACCCCGGACAACTCCTTCATGGGCTTTGTGTCAGAGGAGCTCAACAAGACAGAGAGGCAATTCATCAAGTCCAACAAAGTGAGCACCATGGCAGTGGTGTACGGGAAGGAGGCCAGCATCTGGAAGGTGGGTGTTCTCGGTGCTGTGGGGAGCAGCCAGGCCTCTGGCTCTTATCCCGAGCTTTTGAGGCACAGATCTCAATGTGTTTGTAGAGAAATGTCCTTGTCCCCTTCATAGAGGGGCAGCTGAGGCTGCTGCAGTGATGTGACATGTCCAGCACCTTTGAGCACAGCTGGCAGAGGCTGGTGAGACCAGTCCCCTGCTCTTTGCTCTAAGGGACACTTCTTCCCAACAGGCTGCTTAGAGTGAAGGTTTCACAGCGATGATTTTACGTATTAATTACAGTGGTTGCATTAGGTGATTCCCTGGGTTATGATGGGGATGATTTGTGCTTTCAAGTACCCTGTGAAAGGGGAACGTGCTGCCCTCCTGCCCGCCTGCACTGGTCATGCTGGGGTGAGAGGAGTGGAGCAAGAACCCCCATCCTTGGTGGTGGCCAGTGCTGGTCCTTGCTGGGACCCCACACTCGGCCACATTCGGTGCATCCTGGCTGATGCATCCCTACACCAGCAGATGTGGGGTAAACCCCTTCTCTCTCTTTCCCCAGCCCTAAACTGCTCTGCCAGTGAGCAAAAAGACCAACAAAACTCCCCAGCCCCCCAAAGCATCCCCCTACATCTCCTGCAGTGGCCAGGGGACGTGTGTGCTCCCCTCTCTTATCCACAGCAAGCCAGCTGCTTTACCTTCCAGGGCTTAAAAAAAGGGAGCTAAGGAGCTAATTCTCACTGTCTCTTGATTTATTTCTTTTTTCTTTTTTTTTCCCCTTTATGCACCACCTGGGGCTGTTCCAGTTGCAGGTACTGTACCTCACCAGCCACTGCTGGGCTTTACCTCTGCGTGTCTTCTTGCAAGAGAAAGATTTTGCTGGAGCTGGCTTTGCCTCGTCATGAACTCAGTCTTCCCATGCTGCTGGGATCGATGGGGGTTGATGCAGCTGGAGGATGTATCCCCTCCCTGATTTAGTCCCCACCTTTCCTGATTTAGTGGCTCTGCCCTCACGGGGCTGCCTGCGGTGGGCCAGAATCCAGCCACACCATCTCCTCCTGTTCATGGATGTTTGTGGCTTTTCCATCACCCCCTACATCTGAGAGCAAACCCCCCAGCATGTGTATGTCAAAGGCTCCCTAAAAACCCACTGAAACACACTAATTTTAGGGCAACTGTAACATCTTTTCTGCTTTTCCTACCATCCCCCCACCCTTTCATATCCATAAGTTTCATTTGAGCTTAGTTAGGTTAATCTGTGAAGGCACTAAAGAGAGTTAAAACCTCAGAACACACATTCTTCTCCGCTCTTAGTGCTACCAACATTTGCTCCTTTTAGCCAGAACTCACAAATAACATCATTTTCCCCAAAACTGCATATATGGAGTAATTTATTACTGGGTGAAGGGGCTGGGACTGGTTTTTACTGGTGGCTGTTCCTCAAGACCACGCTGCTGGGGCATTGCTTCATGTCTTGTGCCACCCCATGTGGCATAAAAGCTCCATAAAATATGGGGAAAGGGAGCTTTTCCTTATTTGAGTGATTTTGAGGTCTAGAAAGGAAAAGAGCAACTCCATCTTCAGGAGCCAGCTGTTTATTTACAAGCCTTGGACCAAGCGCCGTCTCCAGAGCAGAATCTTTTTGACATTTAGAAACATTTTATTAAACCTGCCTTCCCGTTATTTCTCATTTCCTACCACTCTGAACTTCTCGCCTCCAGCTTGCAACAGAAGCTGAAGTTTGAATCAGGTGGGAAAGGCTGTTTTCATCAGGCTGCTGCCCGATTTCCGTGGGTGGAAGCAGATCACAGTGCTCAGAAGGAGCAGTGGAGGGGGTCTCCCGTGCCAGCACCCCCACCATGCAGGGGGATTTGGGGATCGGTCCCTCCCCGATGATGCACGGTGACCCCTGGCACTACCCAGGGACTATAAGCTGTGTTTCACTCCCACCTCCTCAAGCCCTTTGCATTAGGGAATAGCTATCAAAATGGTGCTGATTCGGGTTTTAGTGGCCCCCTGCAGCCTCATCCCACCAAACCCACTTGCTTTTAGCCTTAGAGAAGTCCAGACATATGTGGCTGAGGGTGGAAATAGTGTTCAGAGAAGCTTTAAGGCAGCATATGGAGTTTTCTCAAATTCGCCATTTCTACCTCCTTATTCCCTCCTGGTCTCTGCTTTTTTTTGGGGGGTATTACAGCACTGGGACAAGCTGAAAATACAGCAGCCAAAGGATGGTCCCTGTGTGGCTTTTCCAAAGAAAAAAAATCTGCAGGACAGCAAGTGTTAAAATGGAAGGCTGCTTTGGAGAGCAAAAGGAGGAAAGTCTCCAAAAGATGAAAACTGATGACCCCCCCTTGATTTTTTTCCAGATAGTAAAACAGGTTTAAACCTGAGTGAGAAAATCCTGGGGATTTGTTACTTGGAATAAGAGGCCATTAGCAAGCTCTGGCCTTTGCAAACTTTCCCCTGAATCCCCTGAAACCTTTAATTCTGCAGCTCCAGAGTGGAAGTTGCCCATGGAGGTGGCAAGGAAGGCAGGGGCTTGAGGTGCTGATGTTCAGGGTGCTGGATCCTGCAGCCGTCTGTGCTCACTGGCAGCCTGGGGTGGTCCAGGATGCGTGTCCCAGGGGTGCGGAGGGGAGGGTGTGGGTTTTACACTGCTGTGGGGTGGGCTGAAGCATTGTGGGAGCTCCAGGCAGGACAGCAATCTGAGAGTTAAATCTCAAACTGGGGATCAGTCCCATCTCCTGGTGCAGTTCACACCTTTACCTTCCTCCCCAGGGCAAGGAGAAGTTCCTGGCCATCCTCAACAAGTACATGGAGATCCACGGCACGGTGTATTATGAGACGCAGCGCCCGCCCGAGGTCCCGGCATTTGTGAAGAACCACGGGCTGCTCCCACAGCACGAGTTCCAGCAGCTGCTGAAGAAGGCAAAGGTGGGCGAGAGCCAACGGGGGTGTCCGTGGGACCCTGTCCCCCGTTAACTAGCCAGCAGTGAGGACAGAAATAAAACCTAATTAAAGGAGGGGACGAGGGGAAAGGCCATTATCTGCACTCCTCCCAGGCTTGCAGAGCTATCAGAAGGGCTAATTAGCTGGGAGTTGAGCAGAGGACAGCGTTTCAAATCAAGATGTGTCTGATGAGTTTCTCCTTGCAGACTGTCTGCAGACGGAGCACAAAGTTTCCTGATTAATTCATTTATTGCTAAGTATTGTGGAGTTTTTTCTTCCCTATGGCCATGATAAAAATAAACAGGATTCTTGGAGCGAGTGTGCGGGGTGTGGGCACATCCCAGCTGGTGTCTGAGGGAAAAGCTGTTGGTTCTCCAGCCCATGGCTCTGGCAGACCAGGATTTCTCCATACAGAACCAATACCATGGTTGTAGCCACTGTGTATTGAACACCCCATTGCTTTGCATGAGTGGGTTGTGAGCTGTGGAGCAAGGGGAGTTTTTAGCACATTTAAGCCATGGGGTGTTGAACTGTGGGGAGCTGCCTTTAGAGGCTCAGTGTGCAGGACCAGAGAAGCAGAGGGGGATGCTGGCGGGTTATTTGGGAGACTTTCCTATGGGGTTGGCCATGTTCACTCACCTGGATGTGGGTTTGCTCCCTTGCAGCTCTTCATTGGCTTTGGGTTCCCCTACGAGGGTCCTGCCCCACTGGAGGCCATCGCCAACGGCTGCGTGTTCCTGCAGGCGCGTTTCAACCCTCCCCACAGCTCCCTCAACCACGAGTTCTTCCGCGGGAAGCCGACGTCGAGAGAGGTGAGTCTGGCAGGAGGCAAGTGGGTGGGCTGGAAGGAGCCACCCTCTCTACACTGGGGTTTGGGTTGATCTGGGGAAGAGCAGTTGCTAAACTGTTTTTTGTTTTGGTTTGGTTTTTTTTGGCAAGACTTCGTCCAAATGCAAAAATGCGGATACCTGCAGATGGGGTCCCCTCTCCCATCCTCGCATCCTCTCCATCTGGAGCACTTGGATGCAAGGGGCCCTGCTGTGGGTTTGGGGTTGCAAAGGAGAAGGTGGTGTAGGAGATTTCTGCAGACCACAAAGCCCAGCTCCTTCCCCATCAGCACAGATCCATGCACACCCCCTGCCCTGCTCCCAAACCGGAGCTGATGCTCCCCTGTCCATCCTTCTCTACACCCAGAGAGAGATGCCGGGACCTCTGTGGTGTTGCAGGGGTGCAAAATCCCTCCCAGGCTTGCCCGTCACTGGGAATTCAATCTGAGTGAAACAGGAACTCTTTAAAAGTTAAAGGGTTGAGAAAATTGCCTCTTTTATTATTAATAAAGTGGATAACGCAGTGCAACGCTCGCTCCCGCTGAGAAGGGCTTTGTTGGGCAGCTGTGCTGGCTCAGCCCTGCCGCAGCCCGGCTCAGTGGCACCCATCTGGGGCTTGGGGGGCAGGGCTGTCCTGCACCCCCGTGTCTGCCTCATTCACCCCCTCACTAGGTGCTGGTGTTAGCACCCATCCAGTCTGGGTGCTGCAGTTGTGCTTCAGGGTAGAGCAGCTGGGGATAAGGGCTGTGAAATGCCCCAGGGTGTTTATACACTGGAGGGGAAGGAGTTGGCAGATCTGTCAGGAGAAAATGAGGAAGGACAGCAAAGCTGGAGAATAAAACGCAGAGCATGTGCTGCTCTCCTGCTCCAGCCCGTGGGTTTTCAGGCCCCTCTGCAACACTTTGCAGTGCCCTCGAGACACCTCCTCTGCTCAGCATCTTCTCTCTTCCCTTCCTGAGAGGACAATCCCCAAAACTTGCCTGGTAAGAGGCGGGTGGCTGCAGGGTACCAGTGCACAGGCTGCCTGTGGCATCGAGATGACACAGATTCCAGCATGGCTTTCTCTGGGTGCCAGACTTTCCCAGCCTTTGGAGGTGGTGGATTTTCTCTCTGCCTTGTTTTTGGTGCTGTCAAACCAGAGAGAGAGACATGGTGCTTCCTAGAGCTTTGCTGCTTTGCTCTGTTTTTGCCACTCCAGACCTGCAAATGGTTGAGGTCAAGGTTAGGTTTTACCCCTGTTATGGAGATGGGGATGTTCAGGGCTGCAGAGGCCATTTTGGTGTTGATGGGAATGGTGCATCCCAACTAAGCAGGAATTTTTGAGCTTTATCAACCTGATGGCAGGGGGCAGCTGGGCTCAGAGGAAACTTTTTTCCCAGCACATCTCTATGTGCAATGGATGTGACTGTGCCCGAGCCTGTCAGTGCCACAGAGCTGCTCCTCTCTACTGTGATTGCACAAAACCACCTCACATTGCTCACTGTGTTTTCAGGTGTCCTCCCAACACCCATATGCTGAAGACTTCATCGGGAAGCCGCATGTGTGGACTGTCGACTACAATAACTCCGAGGAGTTTGAAGCTGCTATCAAAACCATCATGAGGACCCAGGTACGGCTCGGAGGGGGTGACGGGGCGATCTCCCCACTGCTGGGTTTGCAGGGAGGGATATCTGTGGTGGTTGTTGGTGACTGATTCTCACTTTTGAGCATTAATTACTTTCCCTTCCTTACTTCCCCTTGGAAATTATTTGCACGTGCAGAGCAGAAATCCTCCTCTCCTGCAGCTTCAGGGGAACTCATGCTCTCGCCTTGCTTTGGTACCTAGTGTCAGAGGCATTTCCCCAGGACAGCATCATGCCTTTGAGGGATCCCCTGGGAATCTTCCAGGCAGAGCCAGAGTAAGGGAAAGCTGAGATAAGGGAGATGAGGTCTGGGACCAGGAGGCTGAGGTGGCTGGAGATGCATGGCGGTGCTGGGACCTGGCATGAAGCAAAGATAAACCCAGGGAGCATCTCCCTGCGAATACCCTGAGAGCTGCCAGCCTCTGCGCCTGCTGTTACCCCATTTCCTTGTTCATCATTACAATTCAGATCGAGCAAATCGATAGGAATAGCCCCAGGAGTTGCCTCTGTGAAGGATGAAGGGAGAGAAGGAAGGGGGGATGCAGGTTCTCCCCATGAAGGCAGCCTTCCTGCTGCTCCTGCCCTGCAAACACTCCCTCATGAATATTTACCTCCTCCTGTGGCAGGAGCCTTTCAAGTTGTCCAAATTATTAAAGTCAGTTTTCCTGGAGGGGAGAAAAGTGCTGTTCTCCATGTTGCTTACAATTTGCTTCACCTGGGATGAGCCGTCCCCTTGTGAGGAGAGTGATGTGCTGCGGGACCAGGGTGCCGTGTCAGGGTGCGGGGGTCTGGGGTTCACAGTGCCGGGTGGGATTTTGGGGGAACAGGCAGGGTGCTGACCAGAGAGATGTCATCCTTGCTTTTGCCCACGTTCAAGGCTACAGAGGTGGGTGGCAGAGCTGTGGCAGTCTGGGGACATTGTTCAGCTGTGCCTGGGTCTTGCACCTTCTCATGGGTGATTGCTGCAGCTTGTCACCTCACACTGATTTTCTCTACGAGTTTGCAAAGACTGAACGAACCTGACTTACAAAACCAGTTGTTGTTTTGCACATTCATTCTGCTATCTCGATTAAAATGAAATTAAAAATAATTACACCCCTGCTGCTGTGCTGCCAGGCCAGCTGTCAGTGCTTGACCCTCCACCATCTGGGCTGAAGAGATGGCCCAAAAGTAAGACAACACTGTGGGCGGGTAGCTGGGAGCTGCAGGTCTCTATTTCAGGAGAGAGAAGGAAATTTTCAGTGTTTCCAGAAAAGACAAAGAAATTAATGAAGCCTGGTGCTGTGGTGCTATTAAAAGAATTTAAAAAAATCAATTGGAGAATTAAGGAGGGGGAAAGGACTCTGCTGGCTCCTGAGCAGCTGTGTTGCGCCGCAATGGTGACTGGATGTGCACCGGGTCATTTCGATGATGATGGTTTAGGTGATAATTAAATGATGCTTAATGATAATTCTAGTTTAAAAAAAAAAAGGGGGGGGATTTTAGGAAAGAATCTGGTGATGTGATAGGCCCCAGGCAGGAGGACTTGGTGTGGGGACCTGCTCTCTGTGGCACCAGGGGCTCAGTAGAGCGTGCTGTGCCATGCTGATCCCTGTTTTGCCCAAAGATGAGCTCCTGTCTCCACTTTTCTCCCTGTTCTCACTCTTCATGTAAACGCAGTTGCGGTGCAGTAACAACATGTCCTGCCTCCCTCTCTTAATTAGCGTTTCTTCCATTGCTAACCGGCTGAGGGAGGGCAGGGGAAGTGGAGCTGGGTGAAGAAACAGAAGAGACAGAGAAAGACATGGACCCGTTGGAGTGAGTCCAGAGGAAGCCTCAGAAATGATCGGGGGCTGGAGCAGCTCTGCTGTGAGGACAGGCTGAGAGAGTTGGGGCTGTTCAGCCTGGAGAAGAGGAGGTTTTGGGGAGACCTTATCGTGGCCTTTCAATGATTAAAGGGGGGCAATAAGAAAGCTGGGGACAGACTCTTTAGCAGGGCCTGTGGCGATAGGACAAGGGGTGATGGCTTTAAACTAAAAGGGGGGAGATTCAGACTGGATAGAAGGTAGGAAATTGTTATGCTGAGGGTGGTGAGACCCTGGCCCAGGTTGCCCAGAGAGGTGGTAGATGCTCCATCCCTGGAAATATTCAAGGTCAGGCTGGACGGGGCTCTGAGCAACCTGATCTGGTTGCAGATGTCCCTGTCACTGCGGGGCGGGGGGGGTTGGACTGGATGGCTGTGAAAGGTCCCTTCCCACCCAAACCAGTCTGTGATAAGAAGGGTGTCTGTAAGGCCGCAGGGCATGTGGGTGCTGCTGGGCACTGCTGGGAGGACAGGCAGCCATGGCCGGGCATCCCCGCTGGGCTTCTCTCCGCTTTCCATCCCAGCACGACGCTGTGTGTAGCCGGATAAACGCGTGTCTCCTATGGGACCGTGGGGCAGCTAAAGCCCCCTCTCAAAAGCTTTATTTTGGAGGGATCTGGCTGCACCTATCTCTGCGGGACCAGGGACCCCCACCCCAAGTTCCTCTCCCATGAAGCATCCCAAGCCCTGTCATTACTCTCGACTGCTGGGAGGCTGAAGCCCTGAATTTGCCTCAAATTAATAAAATCAGGTGCTGGCATCCCGCTTGCATTGAAAACGTGCAGTTGCTCTGGAGAGATGTTATTCCTCCCCATCAGGAAGCACACTGGGTTAATCCCACCACTCACCTCTCTGGGTTTTTTTGATGATATTATAGAAATCCTCCTGAAGCAGAGTGAGTGTGAATAAATTACAGCAACTTCTTTTTTCCGTCTTCTTCTTTTTCCCTTTTTGTCTTTTAAATAGAAAGGTCTGCTTTATTAGAGATGCTGTCAAGGCAATTAAGCCTAAGAATTGACCTACCTTACTGGTTTAAAAGCCTTATTATGGGCTTTGGCTTCAGGAATCCCTTGCTAT